CTGCAGCCCTCGCTCTCTCTCTTCCTGCACAGAAGATAAAAGCTGTGGGTTTTCTTTAAAAGCACTAGCCCTGTCACGGCAAGCAAGCCTGCCCTGGGGGCTGGGGAGTCCTCGGCCAGTCAGAGAACAGGTAGTAGCATTTCTAAACTCTTCTAGGACATGTTTCTTCCATTCTGGGTGACAAATTTCTTTTGGTTGCTTTTATCTGAGTATCTGGAGTCAGTAAAACAGCACTGGGTTTAGCCAAGAATGTGGGAACCATCTATAGGAATTTCTGGTGGGGGAGACGCGGCGGGGGCCGGAGAAGGGGGCAGAGAGAGCTTTCGGCAGTAACACCACAGGAAAAATGGTCTTTCATAACGAACCATTCAGGATGGTAGTGCACATTACCTACAAGAGAGTGTTTCATAAAGCTTCCCCTCAAAACCACAGCCTGTCGGAGCCATACAGGACCTCGAATTCCCTCATCTCCTCCTCTGTGAGAGGTGCAGAGGGGCCGTGACTCATCCTATGGGGCATCCAAGCCATGAGCGCGCCCAGGCCATGCACTGCGGGCACTTCCTCTCACACCTGGACGGGAGAGGACGCAAAGAACGAGGTGCATGACCCTCCATCCCACAGCGGACAGGAAAGCGACTCCCTCAGTGTTTACCCAAAACTAAGGCACCCCAGGCTTCCTCTGAATCAGGGAGTTGCTGCACTCACTGTGCACCAGAATCCTCTGGAAGGTCTTTAAAAGGTAGAGGCACACGCCCACCTGCTTCTGTATGTGTTGCTAAAGGCCCTCAGCCAGGACAGAGACCTGCTGCCCTGAGTGGAGACTGCGGTGGCTCTCACAGGGGGCTGGTCACCACCCTAGTCTCGGGAGGACCTTTCCCTCCACAAGGTAGCCGGGTGACTGCCCTAAATGGGACATGTGACCCAGCCCCTGCCCTTGAAGAATTGGTCACCCAGCCAGAGAAATAAGATGTGCACATAAAAAATAACTGTTTAGGATAGGCAGACACCAGCACGTGCCACAGAAAATAAAAAGTAGGTGTGGCGGCATGTAATTCTCAAAGAACCAAAAGTGCCCTTGACTTCCTCCTTGAAATGAAGCCCGGAAAAAGGTCTCATTCACTCCCAGAGGTGTGCTAACACCCACCCTAGTGACAGAGGGGCGTAGGGACCAAGGAGCTCCAGGCGACAGAGACTGGGTCTCTGGGTGTGACTGCGGCCGGCCGTGCACTGCAGCCCCTGCCAGCCGGCAGCCGGCAGCCGCCCCTGCCTGGAACTCCGCCATTAGCGCTTGATGCCTTTGCACCCGGACATTTTCCTTTTAAATGCAAGGTTCCCTAATCGGAGGAGCATACTGGGTCCCCAGTACCTAAGGTCCCAGGTCGGCGACCTGTAGCTCTCAGGCCCTGAGATTTTTCTTTTTCTGCAAAACCCTTTTCTCCTTTCTGCCTGATTTACTGTTAAGAAATGGGAAGGTGAGACCACTGGGGTCATGCCAGCCCGCTTGGCCGAAGTGCTGTTCTTAGAGCTGAACAGAAGGATGCATGTTCTAATTCAAACTTTGGAAATTGAGTGCCACTAAAAAGACATCGAGAAGTGGGGACATGAAGGATTACAGACCGCTGTTATCAGTAAGGAGTTCAAGGCTGTGTGTGTGTGTGTGACCTTCTGACTGTGTGACCTCCGCCCCCCCATAGAGAATGTGGGAAGTGCTGCATGGGGGGAATCCTGTCTGGAAGGCAGGGCAGATGGCTGGACAGAGACTAATAGGCTTCATCAAAATGTCAGCTAATTGGCTTGGTGGATTGAACGCCAGCCTGCAAACCAAGGGGGTCACCGGTTCGATCCCTGGGCAGGGCCCCAGTAGGGGGCACGCAGGAGGCAACCACACATTGATGTTTCTGTCCCTCTTTCTCCCTCCCTTCCCCCTTCCTCTCTCTCTAAAACTAAATAAATAAAACGAACACTCGTTTACGCGTCCTCCCTGGCAGCCATTCATCTCAACACTCTGCCACACTGTCAACGTCAGCACCTCGAAAGGTTGGGAAAGGTTAATCCACTTGCGCAGATTTACACAGCTAGTACATGACTGAGCCAGGTCTTGGACCCAGACAGGCTCCATCTGCTAACCTGCCTCACCAGGAGAAGCCTGTTGCCCCTTCATGCGTTGGCCAGGCAGGCGGTGTTGAGGAGAGGCCCCGTGTCCACATTCCCAGCAGCAGATGGGGATGGTCATCTCCCACTCTGGGCAGTGGCGTGCTAAGGCAGCCATGGGCACTCATGGACCGGGGGGCTCTGCCCCAGCTTTGCTTTGGGCCTCAGCCCAGTGAGAAGTCCTGAGCCCCGCAGACCTTCTGCCTAGTTCCCCCATGGTTCTCTCCTTGACAGCCCAGACACCTTGTCCCTTCAAAAATAAATAAGGGGGGTTTCCCGGGGAGCTAGCCTGCCCCAGGTGACCCCTGGCTCCGCAGGGTCTGGGGAGAGATGCTGCAAATGGGACCATGAGGCCAGTCTGCAAAGCTGCCCCTCCCTGCTCCTCCAGATCCAGCCCGGGAAAGCACCTTTACCCCGGGCCCACGAGCCGGGGCAGCTGTAAGCCAGGGCCGCCCTGCTTCTCTGGCCTCTGACAGCCGCTGGCTGGGAAGCCCCATCCCCCACACACACATGTGAACACACACACCTTTCCTGGTTCTGTGCTTGCCCCTCCCCTACAAGCCCAGCTGCAAGGGGGAGCCCATTGGTCCTGGAAGTAACGTCAGAGGCTTCTCCCCCAGGTCTTCTGGAGAGCGCATTTGGGGTGACCAGTGAGGCTGCAGGTGGCTGGCAGGGAGCGGGGAAAGGGCAGGTTGTGTGGTAGGGGCTGTGGGCTCCCTCACTGCAGGAGCAGGGCTGGGTGGCTCTCCTCCCCCAGCCCTGCTTCTCACACCTGTCAGTCTGTTCAGCCCCGTTTGGATGGTTGAGATTAAATTCCAGCCTTTAGCAACGCGATGCTCAGTTTCCAGTAGGAGCTGTTATCTGAGATTAAGGATAACAGATCTCCTTGGATATGTTTTTTTCCCCTTCCTTTTTCTGTTGGACTATTTGTCCAAAATGTGCTTAACTCCAGAAAGTAGACTTTTTGTTAACCATCTTTTTATTGACTAAACTTCCTTCTCCAAGTTTTGTGCCCCGCTCCCCACCCCCGCACACACACTCCCACAAGGACCACCACCTTGTCTTGCTTCCGGGGGAGCCTTCTGCTTCAGGTACCTGTGAGAGTGCCCAGGAGTATCGACCTTCTTCCTCTCCTCGCCTGCTTCCTCCTCCTTCGGGGCCTGCTCTCTGCCTGCAGGGAGCCTGGTGTACTGAGAAGTGGGACAGGGAGAAATAACTTGCCTTCTTCCTTATTTTCCTTCAGCACATTCCGCCAGCACCCACATCTTCAGAAATCTAGATCCTGCCTGGAAGAAATGGGGAGAGGACTTGGTGGGGGCGCCCCTTCCTTGGTGTCCGGCAGGGGGAGGGCGCAGCCTCCAGGCACGTGCGCGCGGTCTGCATGGGAGCTGGGAGACCCATTCCAGCAGCCAGGGTCCACCGCGTACATTTATTTCACCTGGATCTTTCTTTTTCCCCCTTCAACAGCCCTATTACCATATTTAAATGCAAGTATGTCTCTTTTCATTGGCACTTTAAGTAGCTTAGCCTGACCTTCTTAGAGTAGCTTGTTCCCTTTTGAACTTCTTTCCTCCCAGTAGTTCCGTGTAGCTAGGACGATAGTCTTAGAGTTTAGTGGGCTTCTAGTTTCCTGTTTGGGGATGGCTCTTCTCTCCTTTCTTTCCTCCCCTCCTCCCTGCCATCCATGGTGCATGTCTCCCCTCTGTCCTGTGCAAAGTCCTGATTTGGGAGGCTCGGTGGCTAAAGCCGGCGGCTCTGGGAGGCTCTTGGGTACAAGCTGCTGGCTCTGGCACACCGTTGAAAACCACGGTCACTGGAAATGGGTCTTGGGATCAGGCCTCCACGTGTCTGCCTGGGCGGAGAAGGTGTTTGTTTCATGGGTGTGGGAGCATATCTGTGTGTCTCAGTGTGTGGCTATGTGTGCACATGCTAGGGGCCAAGGGAAGCCCAAGGGAGGGAACTCACCCACCTCTTCCTTTCCCTGGACATTCTGAAGCCACACTGGGCCACATTGTCCTTCTGACTTGTAGTCCCATTGCTGGGGTAGCCTTGCTGCCTGGTGCATTATCATCAATAGATAGCATAAGCATTGACCAGGAAGCTTTTTGATAGCGCGAGGACTTGATCAAGACCCCTAGGAGACCCAGCAATGCCAGCTTGATCAAGGACAGTGGAGAGCCAGATCTAAATCCCCGTCATTGTGCCTCGCGACGTTGAAACACTGAGAGAGAGAAAGCCACAGGGCTCACCCCACGTAGGTCCCCAGCCCCACAGCTGGCTTCTTGCGCAGGCAGGCAGCCTGTCCCCCGCCCCGCCTCCCCCATGCTTCGCCCTCGGGCCTGTGGCGGTGACACTGCTGACGTGACAAAGTCTGGAGTCAGGATGGCCGGGCAAACCTGCAGAGCCTTTGGAGAACAGCTAGAGTCCAGCCGTCTCCTGGCCAAGGTCCCAATTCCGTGCCTCTTTTCTGTGGCTCAGGGCCGCCCACTCCCTGCGGGCAACCCAGCCGAGCGTGGTCCTGCCCCGGATGAGTCCTGGGATTTACCAGGTGCAAAGGTGACAGGGAGCTCGCCCCGGCCTTCAAGAGGCATTCCTCCTAACCCTCTGCCTCTTAGAGCCCGTTTCTGGGGTGACAGATGCGCGAGCGTCACACACACACACACCTAGATAGGCCGTGCCTTCCAGAAGCCTGAAAGCCACTGATGTGTGTCTCCCCACCCCCAAAAGCTGACCCGTGGAGATGCCTGCCCGTGTTCTGTGTGGAGGGCGGGGGTGCGGCCTGTGGGGCAGGACTGTCCTCGGCCCTCCGCGAGATCCCGCCTTGACTCCAGCTCCGGTCTCTCCACCAGGCTTCCCGGCAGCAGCGTACGGACCAGTGGCGGCGGCAGCGGTGGCGGCGGCGAGAGGATCAGGTAGGAAGGTGTATGGGACAGGCGGCTCCCAGGCATGCCCCAGTGTGCAGGGGAAGGTAAAGGCCCTGTTGGATCTGTGTGGCTGCATCTGTCCACTACTCTCACCACAGCCCGGAGGGTGGGGACAGGGAGGCTCGGGCCAGGCTCTGCCACCCAGGGCATCTCCCAGCCGGGGTCAGTCAAAGGACTGCAAACCCAAGGTAGATGATTATTCTGTCATAGCGGGGGGAAAAAAGAGAGAAAAATGAATTGCTTTTTGACTTTGCACGGCCCCCTCCCCTGACAGCCAGCTTCAGGGCCCCCGTGGTCATTTCCCTCCTTGGCTTTCGCTGGTTCCCCCGGCCCCCTTCTTCGGGTCTCTGGCCCAGCCAGAGGAGGTCTGGGTGGTCAAGGGGACACTCAGAGCCCATCCACGCGTTCCCCGCCTTGGAAGCAACCAGTCCCCTCGGCTCCTGCCGCCCTTGGCAGGTGGGCGTGCCGATCCAGCTAAACCCCAGAGCCCCTAAAGGCCAAAAGGGGGGCCCGCCCTGGCCTCAGCGAATGAGCTGCTATTTCCTGAAGTCCCTGTTGCCTCTCAGACACTCTTAGCAGAGATAAGCGGGCTTCTGGACTCCGGCTGCCAAGGGAAGTGAGGTTTTCTCTCCCCTGAGGTTGCCCCGGTCTCCAAACCCAACCTGTCAGGAGGCCTGGAGCCCCTCACGCGAGGTGGGAGCGTTCTCCCAGGGGCGCTGTGGGGCCGGGCCTTTTGTCCCTCACCGCCAGAGGCTCACTGCCTGCCTGAGCGCCGGGCTTCTGCAGGTGCGGGGCCCCCAGCACGGCCTCCCGGCCTCCCCCACCCTTGGCCACCGAGAGGCCCCTTTCCTCCTAAGCCGAGGTGGTTTTCAGCTGTCCCCCACCCTGTGGACAGGGTGCTGGAGCATCGGGGAAGTGATTAGTTTGATGTAACAGAGCTCTGAGGAGGGCGGGGGAGGGACATGCTGGGGAGGGTACCAGGAAATGGGGCATTAAAAGCCCAGAGGGCAAATGCCAAAAACCCAAACCCTCTATGACAAGAAACTGGCACAGTAAGGCCCATTAGAAACGTTCAGTAAAAATCCGTTCCATGCAAACTGGCACTGCCTCAAGCTACAAAGGATCCACTCCTGTGAATCACCCACTGAGGGTTTATTTGGAGGGGCCAGGGAATTCTCAGGGGCGGCTGAGGGGCAGTTCGCCAGAGAGCCGGGCAGGCTGGCTAGCAGGGCCAGAGAACGGGGCGCCCTTCCTTCACGTCCACCTGCCCTCGTGGCCTCCAAAGGCCGCCCTGCCCTCTGGCCAATGTCCCTTGGTAGCTGCCTCACGTCACCCTGTTCCGTTGGATTTTTAACTTGGGTGCTTTATAAAGGAGCCTCTGTCCTCCCTGTGCCTGGTGGGAGGGGATGATAAAAAGAAAACCTGAGATTTTTGAGTGTTATTGGTTTTGTTTTCTCCATTCAGTTTCTTCCTTATTATAACTTGGATTATGAAACTAAACTTTAACCCGAAATTAACCCTGCCTCTCTCCCTACCCCGTCCCCCTGACTTCATGGCAAGTTTAAAGGGCAGCATGGGGTTCTTTGTGAGTCAGAGTGGTCTCCCCGTTGTCTGTGCCCCCTTCCGTCACCCTGCCCCCTCACGGACCCCCCAGAGCCAGGCGGGAGTCCCACCCACCCCCACCTAACCCCTAACCCCAAAGGTCAGAGCCATTCCAACCACACTTTTTTTTTTCCAGGATCAGTGGTGTTTTATTTGTAGCCATTTCCATCGGGGGCCAAGTCTCCCATAGGCCGTTCTAGGTCAGCCATGCTCATCGCTGCACTGTTAGTGAATTCTATTCAGGAGTGTGCGCCCAGACCGCCTGCCCCACACCGGCCTGCTCAGAGCAAGGAGTAAATCCTCAACTCGGAGGTGTTGCCCCCACCCCCAGAGCGCAGGCTCATCCCGGGAGCTACAGGCACCCCACAGTGCTGCCTGGGGTCCAGGGCTGGGAGTGGGCCCTGGGCGATGGCTAGGCTGCTCCCGCCAGAGCCAGGACACTGCCCGGGTGGCAGGCACCCACCTGTGTGTAGGCAGGCGGCCCCCACCCCCCACCTCCCTTTGGACCTGGGGCAGGCTTCCAAGGCTGGGGAAGGAAGATCTCTGCCTCTCCTTCTTTTAGTGAATTTTGGCCTGTGAGGACTGTCCCCTCCCTCTTTTAGAAAATGACCTGGGCTCCGGCAAGGATGGCCCATTTATTAGCCTGTTTGTAGTGGCCCCTCGGTGGCACTTTGCATGGATGTTAGAGGGCCACACAGACTGGTTGGGGTTTGAGCATCAGCCCAGGCTCACCGAGGACTGATTGTCAGGTTCTGCCTTCACCTGCTCCTGCAACCCTGCGCCCCTGTCCAAGCTCCTTCCCAGAGGACAGGGTGCCCCTTCAGCCTCCGAGCCAGAGCCAGCAGCCTCGGCCATTGGAGGGAGTCACAGGTCAGCCGCACTCCCTTGCAGGGAGGAGCTGCTTCAGGGAGCACGTGCAGAGCACCAGCCTCGAGCTCGGTGCCCTGCTGGACGGGCAGCTGACTCAAAGCAGCGGGGAGGACGGCCCCTGTCCCCAAGGGCTTTCAGGCGCGGGTTAGGGGTTAGGCATCGTAAAAAAAAAAAAAAAAGGCCCTTTTTTGTCTTGCATTTTTGTCTAGCTCCACAGTTTTGTTTGGGGTGGTGTTTTTTCCTTTCATTATGAGGTACTAGGGAGCTTCAGAGGCGGAAGCACCTGCTGACAGCCGTGGGGGTGGGAAGCCGCTTTGGTTTTGCTCAGGTTGGCAACTCGTGTCCGTCAGGGCTATGGTGTCAGGGGAGGAGGTCCAGGGGGCCTTGAGCTCTGCACCCACCTCAGCCAACGCCTCCGGGCCAGCCCGCCCGCCTCTTCCTAAGTCACCCAGGACCTGAGGTGAGCAGGGCCCAGGGGAGGTCCCTGCCGACTCCTAGATAACTTCACTATCAGTGGTCACTTTTCTTTTACCTTCACCTGGCAGTTTGAAATGTCATCTTTTCTTGTGCTCAGTCGAGAGTTTGTTTGTTTATTTTGATCGTGTTCATTCAGTTCCAACGGCCCCATCACGTCCCACCCAAACCTCAGTCCTGTTTGGCCAACGACTCCCCCCCTCCCCACAGGTGAGGGAAGTGGTTCGGATTTTTAGGCTATTTTATCTCTGGGTGACATCACAGGTGGGCCCGAGTCTCACTCGTAGAGCTTCTGAGCCCCCCGCCCCCCCCCAGCCCACCTCCGGCCCCAGCCAGGACCCCGTACTGTACTTTATACTTGCCAGCTCTATTCCCATGTAGTGACATGGGCTCCTGACGGTGGCGGTGAGTGAGAGAGTCATGTTTCTGTTGTCTTTTCTCTTGCTTGGTTGGGGCTGCGGTGAGAGAGTGTCTCTGAGGCACACTTTCCCGCCTCTCTTACACTAGGATCTGCACACCTCCTCTCAAACACTCTTCTGAGCACGCTCAGCGGGAAGGTTTGTCCACACCTATTAATCCTCTCTCAGTGTCCAGCTTCCTGTTAGTATCAGCTGGTTTGCATGTTTTTGCTTGTTCAGATGAAACAGTTCAAGAAACAAACTCATATCCAACTCTCGAGAAATGTCTTTTTTTTGTACTTTCGTTTTCGATTTTTTTTTTATTAGTTACAACTCCAAAACACCTGTTGTCCAGTAAAACATTTCACACCTCCCTGCCTGTTCTTAGATTGTATGTATCTGTGGGACTGAACTAAATGCATGCACTGTAGTCGATGTACTGGTAGCTGTAGCCGTAGTTGTAGAACATGCATTGTTGAGTTGATATTGCAGGGCCTCCGACAGCTCGGCCCGCACGGCTGTCTGCAGGGTAGCGCGGGGGCCGGCAGGAGAAGGGGCTCCATATTTTCAACGTTGCCAAGGGGCTTGGATCCATGTTCTCGCCATCAGCCACCACCACCTCCCCTCACACTCCCTGCTCCCCCAGTCCAGCACTGGGCCACCACCCTCCCAACTGAGGCCTCTGTCATAGGGTCAACGACAGGGAACCAGGATTGGAAGGAGTCTTCAAGTTTTTCCTTGTTCTTGTCTTCCTCATGTGGTTCTTGAACACAGCAGATCTTTTCTTACTGCTCAGGGGCCACCACAAGGCTCCTCCAAGCCCTCTACTCCTTGGCTGGCTCATATTCAGTCCTTCAAGGAGACAGATCCGTGTGGCAGCCCCGCCCGTGTGGTCTCCTCCCTGGGGTAGGGGGGAAATGAGACATGGTGGGGCAGGGGCGAAGGTCTGAGGACCCTCAGTCTGCAGACAGGGAATGCATTTGGTCCTAGACAAGGTTGGCACTGGTTCTCACGGTTGGGGAAGGTGAAGGAGAAGTCCTGAGACGAACTCTCCAGTGGGTGGGACATGTGAGACTGGTGACAACGGAGAGCGCCTGCCTGGCTGCGGGGGCGGTACTGTAACTGTCAAAAAGAGTTGCGTTCCTCCACCTCCCACGAGAAGTCCTCCCAGTCCTGCTGCCTTTGCCCCCAGCTCAGGGACACGTGCGATCAGTTGTTTTTGGACCCACTGTCTTCCCTGCATTTGTGGTGACAAGCCATAAAGGAGTGCCAGAGGCCTCTCAGAGCTTTGAGAGATGTCCCTAACCTATGATGGGAGACAGAAGTCCAGGAAGTCACAGAGTCCCCCGAGAGTGTGACAGAGAGACATGGCAGCTCCATGGAGGGAAGGCGGTGCCGTGGAAGTTGGTGGCACAGTCTGGGCAACCAGGCATTGGGTGTACGCAGGCCAGTCAGCTGCGGAACGAGGGCCCCGAAGCCCAGGAAGGAAAGTCTGGGAGGTGCCACCCTTCTGGCTTGGCCTGCGTTGGGGTGGGCGTGGGGAAGGAAGGGGACAGACGCAAGGCCTGGAACTGTGAGGCTTCCAGGCCGCTGAAGCTCCGGATAGACCCAGGCTGGGGAGCAGGAGAAGAGGGTGGGGACAGA